TACTTAGAATCCGTTGAAAAATTGCCGGTGATGTTTTCAAGCCAAATGGTAGGCAGGTCCATTGGAAGTGTCCATCTTGTGTAACAAAACCTGTTTTACTTCAGTCTTCAATTCGGAGTGGAATAGACCAGAAAGCTGAGTTTATATCCAGTGTTGTGAAATATCTGCAGTTTCTCGTTTTTATTATCAAACCATCTATTATCGGGAATGGTTGAGCTTGTGGTACTATTATTTTATTTAGGTCTCTAAAGTCAATGCAAAGTCTAGATTTTTTGTTTTCCTCTTTTTTAAATGCCAATGTTACTGGTGCTGCAAATGGACTGTATGATTTTTCAATGAAGTGTCTCTTTAAAAGATTTACAACTTGTTCTTCAATTTTCTTTCTATCTTCTATTGTGCATCTATATGGCCTCTTGCTGCAATATTTATCAATCAATAGATCTATCCGAGCTTCATAATCTTTTACAGTACCTATGTCGTACTTATCCTTTGCAAACACCGTCTTATATTCTTCTATCAGTCTTTCTATCTTTTTCTTTTTATTTATATCTAAGTGGTTTATTTTTATTTCAAATTAACTTTCTTTTATATATTCAATAAAATTCACTGAATACATCTCTATCTTATTTTGTTTATAATTTGTATTGTTTACAGTTCTTATATTTATATCTTTCGCTTGTTCTATCGCTAAATTTTCATTCTGGACTAGCTTAAACTTTTTTATCATGTCTAGTCCTATAATAAAATCTTCAAAATCATCTCTTTTAACAATTTGTACATCTGTCATTTTTTTAATATTAAAGATTTTTACCTTAATAGTTATTAGACCATTTGTTCTTTTCACACCATTAGCCGTTTTTAAATGTATTTTATTTATATCTTTATCTTCTATGACTCTAACTAATTTTGAATTTATTAGTGAGATCTGAGACCCTAAATCATAGATCCCTTCTATCTCCAACTTATCTTCTAGTAATACTTTGATTTTGACTAATGGTGTTATATCTAGTTTTTTTTCTCTGTGTTCAATTCTACCTCTATTACTGAGTTGTTTCCTACAACGCTAGGTTTATTATTTTCTTTCTTCTTAAACCATCATAACTCCTCCGGATGATATCTGATGCCTTTGCTTAAACTTTCACAGTTCTTGCATGGCCTTTTTTCTTCAGTCTTTTTTTTATTTTCAAATTTCTCTTCTTTCTTCTTTGGAAAACTTTTTTTATTCACTAAACTCTCATACCTCCTTATTTCATTAAACAGTTTTGTTGAATCTTCACATTCTTCTCTATCTATTTTATTCATAATGAAGTCTGGCAGTCCTACTGCAATTAAGGTCGTTAATGTTTTTGTATCTATATTTTTATTTATATCTAGCAGAAGTCTTTCCTTTCTCATTGCATAATCAATAAGAGATCCTTCTTTATATCTAAATGACAAAGCATATGTTACCGTGCTCTATCCTTTATCAGCAAAGGTCTCTAGGAATCTATCTTTTCATTCAATCCATTTAGCAGTAATTTTCAACTTCGTTAACGTTGCCCATGCAGTGCCAGTCTAAACAAAATTTATCCAAAAACAATCTTAATATCTCTATTTTTATTTCATCTTCTGTGATATCAAATCTTGTACACTCCTTCTCAAATGTCTCTATCCATTGTTTGGCATTTGAGTGCTTCTTACTAGTGAATTTCTCAATCATATACTTCTCTGCAATCTGTTTTAATTTTTTCTCTCCTTCTTTTTTCTGTGATGTTTCCACCAATTTTTCTAGTATCTTACTCAAATCATCCTTTCTTATATCAGCTCTGTCTTTTTCTTCTATTTCTTGTAAGTATTCACCTGCAAACTGTATATTGCCATCCTCATCTATATAAATTTTTCTCAACTCTTCTGTCATAGAGATCCACACTTTTCTTGACTGATGTCTTTTTTTTAAACTATTCTTTGCTTTTAAATAATTCTCTGTTTTCATTAATTCTATATGGTTGGTTAATCCCTGGTCTCCTTGTAAGACATACGTCAATCCATCTTCTGTTCTAATTGAGGTTATGGCTATCGTAGCCGACTTCTCGTCTTTTGGAGAAGCGACTATTGTAAATTCAAATTGTAATTTATCCATTATTTTAATTGACTGAAATTGTCTTTTTGTAAGATGGATTTCTATTATTGAGGATTTTCCAAGAAAAAAACCAATGTGTTGCTCTGTAACAAGAGATTTAAATTTTATTTACTATGTTTTAACAATTTATGTACAATATTTACAATCTTACCTGTAACAAGAGAAACGACAATTAAAGTTTCTTTCTCCGTTACACCTCTAATTACTCTTTATTTAAACCATTTTTTTATCTCAATGATTTTGCAAGATACGCACACGTGCTTATCATTTTCTATCTCTTTCCCTATCTATCTCTCTTGTTCAGTGTTACCGACTTCGGCCTACTACCAACTACTGTAGCGCGGCGAATTCAAATGAAGAAAGTACCTTTCTTTACATATATATATATATATATATATATATAAGATATATAAAATTCTTGTAAAAAGATTTTTTGCGTTTTCTTCTATCTACAGATTTTCCTCTACAAAAATATCAAGAATTATTATCGTATCAATTTATGCAATCTAGCAAATAAGTTTTAATTTTCATTTAATGTTAAGTGGACTTTACTTTAATAAAATTTTGGCATATAATTTAATAAAAATATATAATGTTTAATGTTAAACTCAGGGCGTGTTCGTCTTCAATCTGGTTCAGTGGACGCCTATAAAATATTTAGATTATGAATACCCGTGGTGGTCGCATGTGTTAGGCTGGTTTACAGCGCTATCCTCCATGCTCTGCATACCCGGATACATGGTCTATGCCTGGATGACTACATCGGGTGACAATAGGACGGTAAGTACGGACAAATCGAAAATATAAGTTTATTGAGAGATATTTACAATTTATTCGATAGTTTATTTAATACAATTATTTCTTCCTTGCAGAAATACAAATTGTTAATTAAGATAGAGGACGACGTCGCGACTCTGCGAACAAAGATGGGTCAACCACCAGTCGAGCTAACGCCCCTATAATTATTGCTTCGGTAGGCAGCGCAAGCTTGCCTAGTTTGATAATACAGTTGTTTCCTGTTATCCTGTAAAATTGGTGAATTACAAGGAATTGATAAGAATTTATTTTGTAGTCATAAATTCCTAATCTTTAAAATCGGGGGAATGATTTAAAAAATGTTTAAATAAAGATTCTAAAAATTGTTTTCTTCTGATTCGTTTGTGAAATAAAAGTAAGGCCACTTGGAAATAGAAATGGGTTGAGAAATGATCCAAATGTTTCCTAAAGTAGGTCTTAATTTCGACAATTAGAAACGTAACTTCACAAAATAGGTTCTTGCTAATTTCTCTTAATGCATCCGCTTTTTGTAGGATATCGTGATAACAGTTACCATAAAAGAATGCGCGCGCGACCGCTTGTAGGTCGTCGAGGCTTGGCGTTCTTTCGTTCTTGAAGACACGATTCGACGCGAAGCGGAGAGCCAGCAATTAAATGAACGCCGGAAACGAACGTACCCGACACTGCCCTCGGTTCCCCTCTTCACACCCTCTCGACAAAAAGCTTCGCTGGCTTTGTACATAAATTATTTATTATTTGTCATCGTAACGATCGCATAACTCCCGCAGGGTAGGTGACGCGGAAGTTCGCGAACGCTTGTAACATTCTGGCTAAATTGCCGGGTTCATCTTGGGATCAGACGGAATATGCAGATCTGGTTGCATCATCGTGCACCGAAGCTGTTTAAAATTTACTTTATTGCAAATATAAAAACGGATTAATTTATGTTCTAAAATCTTTTTTGCACGGATACTCTCCTTTGAAAATATAGTTTTAAGGACCCAAATTATACATGATTTCTGATGTGATATAAAAAAGTCGCCAAATTTATTGCCAGATTGTCACCGTGTTCGTAAATACACATAATGAGTGACAATTCAGTCAATTGCTATTAGCGATAAGCGAAATCGGTGCAATCGGCTGTTGCTCTCACATAACAAATATCTGATGATATCATTCATCAAACTTATATCGTGATAGCCCTACGTACGTCCGCATTTACACCCGTACTTTCGCATCAATTTAACGCTGCAATTGGCGAACAAAGTGCGGCTACGTCTTTCTTTTCAAAGATTGTAATAAATATTAATTTGCGACGAACGTAAGGCAAAGCGTTTCTTCCATAACATGTAGCGCAATCATCACTAAGTTGTTATAAATGAAAAGTACAACAATGTAGTACTCTTAGACATATTAAATGACGCTGTATCGCCCAAATTCTTTGCCATTTGCGAGTGACTCGTATTAATAATGTATTGACGTCCCAAACCGCCGCCGTCCGGACGTTTACGACGAACGGATGGACAGTACGATTCTAGGATTGCCCTGTGCGCATATTTATGCTGCCATAAATATTATAAATAGGCGCGTTTTATTATCGTATTGCTTTTATTTAATAAACTAGTGTTACCTAATTTATTTCGTGTACTTGTCGTTAGATCTGCAGCGTCCGTAGACCAATAGTATAATAGCGAAATATGTAATTAACATAAAAAGCGACAAAACATTCGCAGACATTGCAATACCATGATGAAATTATAAAGATGATAGACGAATGAAATAAAAAATATAATTTTGATATTGTGTCGCTATGTTGTATGTACACTATATTTATCCGGTAAAAAATGTTGCATATAAAAACATATATAAATGTATATAATTCTACATATGTTTATATATGTTTTTTTTCTTTTATAATCTCTGTTTGTACACAGAAAAAAGTATTTAAAAAAATAAAAAATAATTATAAAAATAATTTTCAAATTTTTTAAATAAAAAATAAAGTTTGACAAAATGAGAAAAAATTGCCCGTACATAATGATATATAAATATAATAATCATAAATATAAAATATGATTATATACAGAATACATATAATCTAATCGTAATTTTACTTTTTGTAAAAAAAAAAAAACAATACAAAATTTATTTTTCTCATTATTTTTTAATTATTTAGTTTATTATTTTTTCTGTATATACAGACAGAGATTATACAAATAGAGAATATACAAGAGAAAAAAACATATACATATAGACATATTTTATATATTATTATTATATAAAATTTATATATATTATTATATAAAATTGTATACATATATTATTATATGAAAAATTTTTCATCAGATCTTAAGACATTTGTATGAAGTGTTAAGTGAAGCCTATTATATGCAAATAATAATCGTATCAACCGTTCATAAGATTATGAATTTACATCTTTCATTCTACTATCGTCTGTTAAAAATCCGCACGACATGGATTTCGTGCACGAGTACCCACAGTTATACGAGGTTGGTATCGAAAATTTTTCGAACTTACAGTATATAAAAAATTTTAAACTTACCTATCTTATTTACATTTGGTTTCCATCCCTTTCAAAATAGTCGACAGCAATAATTCTTTCACAAATGATTTGTTCAATTTTTCAACATTTTCGAAAGTTGCTGATGCGCGGCTATATGTTCTTTTTTAACTCTACGTTATTCGCGTGACTTTTTAAAATGTAATTTCTCGGATGTATTTAACACACGTTATACATGCATCAATTTTCATTGTCTCTATGATGACCATTAAATAAAGGGTAATAATATTCTATAGATTTTCTAAATAAAGATGAACGTAAAAGTTTCTTTTCAATTGTGAACCTATTTGTGCAGCATTTAATTGATCAATAAAGAAAGTTTTTACTTCAAAAATTTAGTAGATTTCTAAGACTAATTTTTGTACTTTACACCCCGCGCAAGTAACGTACAGTTAAAAATGAATAAATGTCTCGAATGACTCGAAATATGATGTAAGTAAGTAAAGCTTCATCACTAAAAGACTGACAAAATATTTTGAGAGTCTCGAAGGGCCGATGTTTCGAGTTTCACGGGGGGACGTTTCGAGACGGTATAGGAGATCGAGGCCAAATCGTAAACAGTGCTTGATGCGCTGCAGAAGAAAAAACTTTCAACGAATGGCTGAAGCATGGCTAAAGCACTAGGATTGCTGTATCAAATTACAAGAAAAATACTTCGAAGAGAGAAGATATATAAAGACTAAATGTAAATAGAGTAAATAAAAAAATTTTTATAGACTAAAGTCGGAAAATTTTTGATGCCATCTTGTACGTACATACAAATCACAAGAAGACTTTATGATCGAAGTATGCATACGCCAAACTTTGCTCGTTGCATTATAAGTTCGACGCTTTACGCGCGATAATTAGATTCGTAATAGACATTAATATAATGTTGGAATTATTTATTGTTAACGAGTCAGCGATCCCGATTTACTGTATTTTATTTTGTTTTACTGATAGTACAAATAATAAATTTTAAATGTAATAATAACAGTCGGTATTGCATTTTGAGCTTCTGAAATGTAGGATTTTATAAATCTACTTCTTGTAAAAGAGAAGATAACATTTTCTGCATTTGTGTAATTAAGGTTTGTTCTACCGTCAACCGTGTTTCTACCAACACGTTGACGGGCAATTTTGGCTATATAGAGGCAATCGACACATACATGTGTAGATTTAACATATGTCTGCTATGTTAATTGAACTTAACAAATATAAAATGTAAAATTATTAAAATAATTTAAAAAATATGTTGAAGTAACACAATTTGAACGTATTTATTAAATGTGGTAAACAGAAA